TAGTGATGTACAATTTACATCGAATAATAATAGGTTTGGGAACTTTCTCAGTCCAAGATTACTGAATATACTATATCTCCTGCCGACTTTGGACTTCCAGAACATCCAATAAGTTCTGTAGTTGGAGGTACATCAGAGGAAAATGCAGCGATTTTGGAAAAATTACTTATGGGAAAATACGAGGGACCAATCTTAGATTTTGTCTTGCTAAATTCCGCCGCAGTGCTGGTGGTTGCAGATAAAGTTAAAGACTTTAAAGAAGGTGTGAAATTGGCTCGGGAAAGTATTAAAAGTGGTAAAGCACTGGCAGCCTTGATTGATTTCAGAGACGCCCTTGATCGTGCACATATACCATCAGAAAATGGTCTGTTATAAATTTTCTTTCACGTGCAAGATATGTTATAAATTTATGTGTTGGCAAAATATTAAAGTTACATTAATAAAATTTGTAATAAAATCGGTTTCGTTCTATGTATATATATATATATGTGTGTATGTTTTTTACAGGTAAATTAATACTTTATACAATATATGAACAAAAGAAATCTATTACTACGTTACAGACTTTTAAGAACATTTTCTATAAAAAAAAATGATGTCATGTTATTATCATTAGAGTGTAAGAAAGTGAAATTCAATTCAAACAAAAGAACAATCAATCAAATCCTTACCATATACATTTGGAAGATGATCAAGACTCATTGTCGGGGAGAACCAAATTTCCGAGAATATTTTTTCCACGTCTGTAACTTCAACCATATTGTACTTGTGTTCAGTTAAACGTTTATGTCCATCGTTAGCATAACTTTCCTCATCGTCATCATCACTTGGAAGACAATAAGGAATTCGGTCTTTGCCAATTATCCAATATAATCGTCCCGCGGGATATAATTTATGTGCGTCCATTCGAGAATGAACAACTTTTCGCATCTTCCAAAAGAATTCTTCGAATTCTTTCTTTTCGGCTTGTCCCCTTTCGTCATCACTGAACACTCGTGATTGATAATCGAGTACTTTGGTGATGATTTTACTGGTCAAATCTTGGTCTTCGGTCTTTTTTGAACCAAGATAGACAACCATATTTCGAAGATCCCTAATATGACCAATGCTAAGACGACATATGACGTCATTTCCATACGCGACGGATGTCACAAGAGTTTTAGCACGTTTGGACAATCCAGCAGA